GCCGAGGGCACAAGGGGACCCTGGTTCAAAAAAACAAAAAAAAAAAAAAAAAAAAAAGAAAGAAAGAAAAAGAAAATAATTTTCTTGGCTTCCACAAAACTGCCTATAAAGTATTCCCTAAGCACTAATGCTAGTGTGCCCCTCTGGCTCATATATCCCACCATTCCTCAACTCTGTGTACCTCCTGATGTCACCATTCAGAGTGCTTATGACCCACATCATGTAGCCCTGGCTTTACTCAGTAAAGCCTTCTATTCCCCTTTGAAGAGTGGCCGCTTCAGTTTCTCCACTGGGAAACTCAAGTTCCTTTTACCACAGGCCTCAGACTCAGAGGAATGGGTGGTAGTTTCCTTTTCTTTGGAATGGTTTGTGCTTCACTTTAATAAGGACAATAATGATGGCAGCATGTTATTGTTGTCTCACTGCCTTTCACTTGCATTTTATTTCATGGGATGTTTATGCACTTGAATAAATTTATTCAGCCAAAACTCCTAAGTGCTGGGATTGAAGATATGCACCACCACACCTGGCTCTGGTTTTTCTTTTTTCTTTTTGTGTTTGTGTATATTAGCATTGGGCTTGTGATATAGCTCGTTTAATAGAATGCTTGCCTAGAGTGCATGAAGCTGTGGGGTCCATCCCCTAGCATCACATAAAACTGGGTGTTGTGGCACATGCCTGTTCTAGCACTTGGGAGACGGAGATAAGAGGATCAGGAGTTGAAGGTCATCCTCCAACCCCATTATTGTCATTTTTCTTATATTAAATTTTATTTTATTTTTTCATTGAGGTCATGGTCTTATGTAGCTAAGGCTACCCTTGAACTTGCTGTATACAAAGGATGACCTTAAACTCCCGATCTTCCTACTTTCAGTTCTCAAGTGTTGGAATTATACACATGTACCACCACTCCCACTTTATTGTGGTGCAGTGGATTGAACTCAAGTCTTCATGCATGGTACAAACACTCTACCAGCTGAACTAGAGCTACATCTCTAGTCCAGTAAGTTGAATTATAACATTTTTTTGTGCTGGGTGTGGTGGCGCTCACCTTTAATCCCAGTACTCAGAGGCAGAAGCAGGTGGATCTCTGTGACTTCAAGGCCAGCCAAGGCCAGCTAGGACTATAGGGAGACCCTTTCTCCAAAGGAAAAAAAAAAATTGTACATACATGTCATCATACCTCATATACCCCTCATAGCCTGTGTCCATTCTCCCTCCTCTCATTGTTCTCCTTCCTCCACTAAAATCGCCTCCATTCTGCTTTAATGTGTGTGCATATTTTTAAAGCTGGATTCCATATGTTAGAGAACATGTGATTTTTTTTTAATCTTTTTCCCATTGCCTTCTCTTTTTTTTTTTTTTTTTTTGAAACAGGGTCTCCCTGTGGCCCAGCTGACCTGTATCTCACTATGTAGACCAGGCTGGCCTTGAACTTATGGAAATCAACCTGCTTCTGCCTCTCGAGTGCTGGGACTAAAGGTGTGCACCACCACACACCATTCCCATCACCTTTTTGTTCCTCTTTTGATCTCTTTCCCTCAGAGTCTCCTGAAAAGATTTATTTTGACTCACAGTTCAGGAAGTTCAGTCCATTGCTTTGAGTATGTGATAACGCTATATATCTTGACAGGGAGCATGTGGTAGAACAAGCCATTCACCTAATAGCTAGAAAAAGAGAGGAAGGAGCTTGGGAGTTCTACATCTTCTTTCAGAAGCACATACTGGGCTGGTAAAATGGCTTACCAAGTAAAGGGTTGGATCCCTAAAACCTGTATGGTAGAAGGAACAAACCAGCTCCTGCAAGTTGTCCTCTGACTCTACATTGCACTATGGCACATGCTCACATACATACAAACAAATGAAAAGCAAAACAAATCAAAACAAAAAACACATCCCTAAGGACCTCCTACAGTGCCCCACCTGAAAGGTTCTTCCACCTCCCAGTAACACTGGGGATCAAACTTTAATATAGGAGGCTTTGTCAAAACAAAACAACAACAAAATCTACAGTACAGACCCTGCAGACATTTTCCACTTCTAGGTGAGTAATCCAGATAAGGTTAGAATCTGAACATGTGAGCATATAAAACTAGAATGTGTGCTTTGCAGGTTGTGAATGCCTTCTGCCAGCAAACATCACCTGAGATGAAGGGTAAAGTTCTCACTCGGTTAAAGCATATTGTAGAGCTTCAGGATATCCTGGAGAAGTACTTGGCAGGTAAGAAAGTCACATACTGGATGCCCTATAGATAAGTGGTGAGGAGGTAAAGAACTTAGTGTTTAAACCTGGCTCAGAGATAGTATTCTACACTTCTGGTTAACAGAGGATGTTTGGTGAACAGAGATTGAAAGACTGCATCCGTTTGTTCCTGTTGTTACCTCCAAGATGTCTAACTGCTTACAAAAAAAAAAAAGGTTTTAAATCATTATCATTTTTTTTTTCCGGTCTTTTTGAGACAGGGTCTCTCTGTAGCCCTAGCTGTCCTGGAACTCACTGTGTAGGTCAAGCTGGCCTTGAACTCACAGAGATCCGCCTACCTCTGCCTCCCAAGTGCTGGGATTAAAGGCGTGTGCCACCACACCTGGCAGTCATTATCATTTTAAAGTAAGTGTGCCTCTCTGTTTGTGTGTACAGGCACTTGTGTGTGATGACTCACATGTGGAAGTCAGAGGACAATTCTCAAGGGGTTGGTTCTCTCTTGCCATTTTGGTGGGATCTGGGGATGGAATCAGGTCATCAGGGCTTCATGCAAGTACCTTTATCAGCTAAGATAGCTTGCTGGGCCTAGTTTTTTATTAGTAATATTATTATAAGTATTTTGACTCTATCAAGTTATTTTGCTATTCTAGATGTTAAACGTCCAGTGACCTAGCCCGGCATGGTGGTGCATGCCTTTAATCCCAGCACTCAGGAGGCAGAGGCAGATAGAGCTCCATGAGTTCAAGGCCAACTTGGTCTACCTAGCAAGTTCTAGCTGGGGCTGCAGGGAAACTCTGTCTCAAAAAGACAAAAAAAAACCAAAAAACAAAAAACCACCTTTCAGTAACCTATGCTTTACTAAACATGGTCACAAATCAGGAGAAAAGATGAAAGCCTCCTCTTCATTCCTTTTTACCATTTAGTTAACCGACTTAAAATACTGGCTTAATTCTCTAGGGAAAATAAGAGGATTTCTTCACACCCTCATCTAAAATAGTGGTTTGTAAAATAAAATGCTATGCAACCAAATAGTAATATCTTTAGATTTTTAAATATAATGGTTTTTTTGTGTGTGGGGGGGGGTGAGATAGCATCTCCCTGTAGCCCCAGCTGGCCTGGAACTCACTATGTAGACCAGGCTGGCCTTGAACTCACAGAGATCTGCCTGCCTCTGGGATTAAAGGTGTATACAACCATGCCCAGCTTAATACAAGTTTATTTTTAGTTCCTTTTTATTTATTTGGTTAGTTCAGTCCTTATTGAAAATGGTTTTAATGAGACTAGCACATGCCTTTAATCCCAAGTGGATCTGTGAGTTTGAGGCCAGCCTGGTCTACATAGTAAGTTCCAGGTCAGCCAGAAATACATAATGAGACACTCAAAAAAATAGTTTTGCTGGGCGTGGTGGCGCATGCCTGTAGTCCCAGCACTTGGGAGGCAGAGGCAGGCGGGTCTCTGTGAGTTCAAGGCCAGCCTTGTCTACATAGTGAGTTCCAGGACAGCTGGGGCTACAGGGAGACCCTGCTTCAAAAAGACCAAAAAAAAAAAAAAATTTATGGGGCTGGAGAGATGGCTTAGTGATTAAGAACACTGACTTGCATAAGACCTGGGTTTGAATCCCAGCACCCACATGGCAGCTAACAACTGTCCATAACACCAGTTCCAGGCAACAGCCTCTTCTGTCCTCCATGGGCATTGCACAGCATGGGTGTACTTACCTACATGCAGGCAATACATGCATACAAATAAAAATAATAAATAAAATTAAAAAAAATAGTTTCATATTATCTGGTCATAATTATTTACTGTAATATAATCCTCTAAGTTGATATACCCATTGTTAGATACCTAGAATGTATCTTATAAATATTTATTGCTAGGGCCAGAGCAATGGCTCAGCGGTTAAGAGCACTGACTGCTCTTACAGAGGACCTGGGTTCGATTCCCAGCACCCACATGGCGACTACGAACCATCCTTAATTCCAGTTCCAGGGGAATCTGAAGCCCTCTTCTGACCTCCGCGGCATTGCACGACATGGGCACACTCACATGCATGCAGGCAGTACATTCATAAACATGACATAAAAATAATAAAATATTTTTAATAAATAAATATTGCTGAAGTTGGTAATTTTGGAAACCAATTTTTAGGCAGTTATGTAATTGTATTCCCTGCCTTATGGTGATTCATTAAGCCTGCCTGCTCTCTGTTTCAGTCACCTCAGACTATGTTCCTCCCTTTGCAAACTTTGACTTGGATACTTTAGATGGAATACCTCATAGCACTTCTGCCACTTCAGGGAAGAGCGGAGGCAAAGGAAAGACAGGTGAGTATATTCCTTTCTCTTTGTCCTGTCCCCATCCAAGGCATGTTCAGGTGCACATTCAGGTACAAGGTTATAAGTCTCAGTACACCAGGAACTAGAAAGATTATGTCATCAAACCTTTTGTTGGAAGGCTTATAAATGTCATGTGATTTAAGTCATCAGATTACCTCCTTTCCAGAGGCTGCTATTTGGCAAAACATGCTTATTGGTTACTTGAGTCATTTTTTTTCTTTTTGCAATATAAGGAGGAAGGAAACAAAAAGCAGATGGCAACAAAGCATCCTCCTTGGATACACTTTCAACAGAAGACAGTACAGATTGTGACACAGTGCCATCTGGTAGAAGCCATCTAGACAAGGTATTGGAATGATGAGTGTGTGACAAAGTATGCATTTATTTATTCATGAGACAGAGTCTCACTAAGTAGCACTTGCCTGGAATTCTAAGTAGTCCTAATCACTAAGTAGACCAGGCTAGCCTCAAATTTAATAGAGATTCCCCCTGCCTCTGGGAATAATGGAGTGTACCACCATACCCAGCTTATTGTTCATATTTTATTATATATATATATATATATATATATATATTTTTTTTTTTTTTTTTTTTTTTTTTTTTTTTTTAAAAAAAAAAAAAAAAAAAAAAAAAAAAAGAGGACGATAAATCTTTCACTGTGATATATCAAAATAAGTGTGCCACCACGCCTGGCTATTATATTTTATTTATTAATTTTTTATTATATTTTATTTAATTAATTTAATTTTTGGTCTTTTTGAGACATGGTCTCACTGTAGTTCCAGCTGACGTAGAACTCACTATGTAGATCAAACTGGCCTTGAACTCACAGAGATCCGCCTGCCTCCGCCTGAATGCCTGGATTAAAGGCCTGCACCACCATGCCTGGCTCATATTTTATGAAGAGAAAATTTAGGGACTAGAGAGACAAAGTTTCATAGGCCTTAGAGTGATTTAGTAATCAAGAGTTCTTGCCAGGCATGGTGGGGCATGCGTGTAGTCCCAGCACTTGGGAGGCAGAGGTACCTGTGTCATGCAGTGCCCACGGAGAACAGAAGAGACTATCAGATCCCCTGGGACTGGAGTTACTGACAGTTGTTATTGCCATGTGGTGCTGGGATTTGAACTCAGGTCTTCTGCAAGAACAACCAGTATTCTTAACCGATGAGCCATCTCTCCAGCCCCTCTAATTGTTTTCTTGCATGTTTTACTCCCTTTGTTTTGCACTCTTGCAATCCTTTAATTCTGTTTTATAGTTCTCACATTCTGTCTTAGAAAATATTGTGCCACACATACACAGTTGTGTTTTTCAAATAAGGTCTTGGTAGCCCAGGCTGACATTGAACTCATGATCCTGCTGCCCCAATCTCCTGAATGTTGGGATTAGTGATGTGCTATCATGCTGAGCAGGACAGTCTTTTATATATGCTTCTTTTAGCCTCTTTCCCTTTTAAAAAATTATTTACTTATTTTTTATTTTATGTGTATGAGTGTTATGCCTGAATGTATGTAAGTGCAACCATGAAGTGTAGTGCCTGAGGAGGTCAGAAGAGGGCATCAGATCCTCTGGAACTAGAGTTATAAGCAGTTGTTAGCCTCCAGGTGGATGCTGCGATTCAATCCCGAGTCTCCTGTAAAAGCAGCCAGTGCTCTTAACTGTTGAGTCTTTTCTCCAGCCTCAACCTATTTCCCTTTTTTTTTTTTTTAATTTACTATTTTTATTTTATGTGTATGTATGTGCTATCTGCATGTAGGTAAGTGCACCCATGTCATGCAATGACCATGGAGGTCAGAAGAGGCTGTCAGATCCCTTGGGACTGGAGTTACGGACAGTTGTTAGCTGCCATGTGGGTGCTGGGATTCGAACCCCGGTCTTCTGCAAGAACAGCCAGTGTTCTTAACCACTCAGTCATCTCTCCAGCCCAACCTCTTTCCCTTTCTAATCCCAGACCATTAACTTCTCAGTGAGCTGGGCATGAAGGTACATGCTTATAATCCCAGTACTTGGGAGGCTGTGGCAGGAAGATTGTCATAAGTTTGAGATTAGCTGGCCTATATAGCAATATCTTGTGTCAAATAAAACAAAACAAAACAAAACAAAATAGGTGGTGCTAGAGAAATGGCTCAGAGCACTGGCTGCTCTTGCAGAGGACCTAGGTTCGGTTCCCAGCACCCACATGGTACTAACAACTGTCTATAAATCCAGTTCCAAGGGATCCAAAGCCCTCTCCTGGCCTCCGTGGACATTGGACACACAGATGCATTTACATGTAGGCAAAGCACTCATACACATAAAATAAAATTTGAAAAAATTAAATAAAAAAATAGAGTCAGTGAGGTAGTTGGTAATGGCACATACTGCCACTCCTAATAACCTCGGTTCAGTCCCCAAAACAGGCATGGTAGAATGAGAGAACCCCCAAATTGTTCTCTGATCTCTACACATGTGCTGTGTCATACACACATACACACACACATAGTAAAATGTAAAAAAAAAAAATTAAGCTATAGGATCATATATATGCATTTATATATGCACACATATACAAATAAATACCAATGAATTGAGATAACTGGAAATGCTTAGTGCAGTTTGTGGTATTTGATTAGTAGTAGTCTCTTACCATTCACAGAGTAAATTTTATATATTTGTGAATGGACCACATGGATGTTAGTTTATTTTGCAACTACCATTTATTTGTTTAATTTGGTGTGTGTAACTGCTCTAATCTTCTTAAAAGTTGGAGGTTAATATTACTATCCATATTTAATTCATTAGGTAACTAATACCTGGAGAAGGTAAGTGACTAATTTGCTCAAAAGCACAGTTTGAAACTAAGATCTTCCTAAGCCAAGGACTGAAACCAGATCTTCCTAACATCTATACTAACAGTTTTCTGTGCCACCTCATATGCCTTCATTTACATAATAGTTCCTCCTAACTAAAAACCAACCGAAGGTGTTGTTGGCTTATATTTCCATATTATATCAAATGCTGTGGCTTAGGGAGAGACTGATGAAAGGAATATGGTGAAGCAATGAAATTTGAACTTTGGAATACTCAGTGAAAATTAGATTTGGGCTGCAGGCATGGCTCAGTGGTTAAGAGCATTTACTGTTCTTACAGAGAATCTGAGTTCAGTTCACAGCATTCAGGTCAGGCGGCTCAGCTTTCTGCAACTCCAGTTCTAGGGGGATCTGATGTCCTCTTCAAGCCTCTGTGGCCACTGTACGCATGTGGACAAACGCACACACACACGTGCGCGTGATTAATAATAAAAATGAAATCTTTTTTTAAAAATAGATTAATATTCGAGACTTATTTTGATCCTTTTGACTTGTTCTTTTGTTTGCTTCTTCTTTTCCCCAAGGAGTTCACAGGGAAGGAAGGAAAGATGGTGTCACTGCAGAATTACCGTGCTTTTTTCCGAGAGCTGGACATTGAGGTCTTCTCTGTTCTACATTGTGGACTTGTGACCAAACTCATCTTAGACACTGAAATGCACACTGAAGTAAGTGACAATCTGGGATCTCAGAAGTTAGTCTTTCAGAAATATCTTTAGGTCTGTTCATATTTCATTAAGAACACTGAGATGTTGCTGGGCATGGTGGCACATGCTTTTAATCCCAGCTCAGGAGGCAGAGGCAGGCAGATCTCTGTGAGATCGTGGCCAGGCTGGTCTATATAGTGAGTTCAGGCCAGCTGAGGCTACAGAAAAGTTGGAAGGCTGGGTGGAATGTAGCTCAATGGTAAGCATTGCCTAGCATGTGTGAAGTCCTCCATGAAAGGAATAACAGGAGACACAAGAGGGAGAGGAGAGTCAGAAAAGAGTGGAAACTTAAAGAGAAGGTTAGTTTCTGACTTGAGGCCTCAGTTTGTGAGCGTAGCAATGAGTAGTCATCCTCATCACCCTGCTGCATAAGTCACAAGTTCTCTCAGTATGTTGGAGGTTATAAAATGTAGTTCTGACAGCACAATCATTACCTGTATTTTACTAAAAACAAGCACTTCATGTACTTTCTTAGTGGAGCACTGTTCTTTTTAAAAGTGATTGCTCTTTACTTTTTCACATTTGTTTAATCTCAAACAGATACTTTCAGAGGTGTTTTTATGTTTACTACCGATCTAGACACACTGGCAGTACAGAAGTACATTCAGCCTGATACCTGCCTTCAAATAGGTTAAAGTGTTAAAGAGGAAGTAGAGATGCCTGGGCTATATAACATATTAATGGTCTAAACTAAGTACCAGAACTCCAATAAGAGAGTATTATTTACAATGAAGTAGGGAATAGAGGACATTTTCACAAAGCTGTTGGGGGACCCTGCTGCTAAGGTTGTAGTCCACCATGTCCGGATAGCTCTAAGGAGCTTGGCACTGTATGGAGGACTCCCTTTCTCCGGCGGGGGTTGCTCCTGCTCTCTGCCTGACCTTATCTGGAAAGTGCCTCCAGGCACAGAAGCCTGGCCTTATTTGGAACATGACCTTAGGCATAGTTACCTGCAATAAACTGCCCCCAGGTTTTTTCTGTATGATAATTAGGCATTGCCCTATAGCCAGATGATAGGATCCCCCTACCACATGTAAATAAAGCATACTATGAGCACCTATCATGTAAAACTTTGGCTGCTGCCTCCACCCTATATTTTTACCTGACCCCCACTGAATAAATGAGCTGTATCACTGAAACTGACTCCTGGAAGGCCTTTTCTGTCATGCTCACTGGCTGTCCTGACCCCGTTAGTCACCTCTGCTCCCTTTGTTCTTGTGGGTCAGTGGCCAATGGCCCACAAGGGGAGGGAGAGACCCACAGCTGGCACCCAATGTGGGTCTCCTGGAACATGCAGAGTTTGTGAGTACCCCCTCTACAGAGGGTAGCGGCATCTTTGCCTTGGCCATCCCACTCTTGAGGATCGGCAGCCCCTCCTTTTCCCCCTTTTTACTTTTGGTCTGAGTCTTCGTGTGAGACCATTAAAGACGAAGGAGAAATTGAGGCTTTCTGATCAGGGCTACTCCCTGATGTTAGCTGAAGGCTCTTAGTCCTCTGAATGGACTCCGACTGCCAGCTTGGGTGTAGACAAAGACCTCCTATCTATACATCTTTCTAATGCAAAAAAATCAGTAATGCAACGGCCAGTTAAATGCTCTTAGAGTGGCCGCCGATCTCTTAAACTTGTGGGAAGGCTTGCGCTGTGGACTGAGTGGAATCACCTGAGATTTTGATCCCAGGCATGTTCCCTTAGAAATCAGCGTTTCACCCCACTTTCCTTTTCTATCTTAACACCCCTAGAAACAAAAATCCCCAAAGTTCTAAGGGATCTTCCAGCTGTGTCGTGCCATGCCTGCAGAAGACAGAAGAGACTGTCAGATCCCCTGGAACTGGCGTTATGGACAGTTGTTAGCTGCCATGTGGGTGATGGGATTTGAACCTAGGTCTTCTGCAAGAACAGTCAGTGTTCTTGTCCACTGAGCCATCTCTCCAGCCCATTTTTACTTTTTTTAATCTTTTTTTTTTAATTTTTAATAACTACATGATTAGAAGAAGCATTTCATTACAGCATTAACATATTCAGTAACACACTCCAGAGCAAGAGTACATGTCTTTCACAAGTGGCTATAAGTTTTTAGGTTCACAGTTGAGTTAATACAGTTATACAATATTGAACTCAGTATAAGCCCTGTAAGACATAAAATTGAATTTTTAACCTTTAAAAAAGATCTCCATTTCATTTTAGAATATATTGTTCCTTGCAGAAAGACTCATTGTTTTTGCTACTAACACTGAGATGTTGGCACATGCATCTTTAATCTGTATGTATCTGATTATTACTAATCATAATTGGTTGCACTTGGATCCTTGGCGCCTGTGTATGTCTATAAAGTCACTGGGTAGATTTCAATGGTAATGTTTATCACCTCTACTAATTAACATGATGTAAATTTCCATGCTTCCTCCTCAAATATAATGCATTTTAAAAAATTTATTTTTTTTGTGTGTGTATATATCACACAGAATATCCCAAGCCATCTTATTCAACTATACACCCACTTCCCAGATGACACACTCCCATGCTCCCCCCGCCTTTTTTGGTCTCTCTGTAACCCCAGCTGTGGACTACGTAGACCAGGCTGGCCTTGAACTCACAGAGATATGCCTGCCACCTCCCAAATGCTGGTATTAATGGCATGTGCCACCACGCCCAGCTACAAAGCTAATTTTTGATAAGAAAATTTCACTAGAGAATAAAAATTTCTCCAAATTAAAAACATTAAAATGATAGAAATTTTACCTAATAGTTACATGAATGTAGACACCTTCAGAATAGTGTCAGTTATTTAATTTTTTTTCTAAAACTCTTTTTTTCTTCAACTTGTCCATGGAAGAGCCATTATAATTGCATATTAAATGGACAGTTACTAAGTGGGACATTTCCTGCCCCCTCTTTTTTTTTTCTTGAGACAGGATCTTAGTACACAGTATGGGCTGGCCTAGAACTTGCTACATAAACCAGACTTGCCTCAAACTCAGAGATCTTCCTTGCTACCACCCCCAGTGTCATTTTTACCCTTTCTGCTTCTTGTAATATGTTTTACAAAGATCCTGCCCACAGTTAATAGTAGTAAAGCATTAGTGGAAAGCAGTATGGCAGGTGAGGAGTCCGAGGAGATGGTTCAGTTAGTGTAAAGTGCTTGCCACTTTTTACATAGGTGATGGGCATCTGAACTCTTGCCTTCATGCTTGTGTGGCAAGTCCTTTATCCACTAAGCCATCCCTCCAGCCCCCTTTTCCCTTTTTTTAAAAAAATTAGAAATCAAATTTAGTTCTCTACTCATTAGGAGGCAAGACATGAAATACATCAAAATTCCAAAGAATAGGACATACTTGAAATTATTCCTCTTTCGTGTTACAGGCCACAGAGGTTGTACAACTTGGGCCCTCTGAGCTGCTTTTCTTGCTGGAAGATCTCTCTCAGAAGTTAGAGAATATGCTGATGCCTTCTTTTGCCAAGAGAATCCCATTCCTCAAGGTGAGTAGAGGCACAAGGCTAGGATCTGTGATTAGAAAATTTGGAAACAAGCATGTATTAGTGGTGAATAACCTTGCAATGTGTTTGGGTTACTGGGTAACATGGTAATAACCCTGTTATCAGATCTAGTCACCTTGCCCTTTAAAAAGGAATGCTGAGGCTAGAACGTAGCCTAGTACAATTAAATGTCCAGGTTGGAAGGCCAGCACCACCAAAAAAAAAAAAAG